ATATTTTAGTAGGTATTTCTCATTGGTGTATTCAATTTTAGATAGCGGGGAAAGCACAGACGAATTATACTTATTGTCACTTGTTTTCAACAAAAGCCTTTGCGTCATATAGCGTTCTGTTTGCATATAGTTTGTCAGTTTCTTAATGAGTTTTTCTGAATTTTTTTGACGATATTTTGTCAGTTTATTGAAAAAACACTGAAGAAGTAAACTTCAAAAAACCACCCAAAAAAATTCAAAAAGTCAGCTCATCTTGATTAATGATTACTTGCTTATAGGAGCATGAAGTAGAGTAGTTCATAATTTCTTCAAATCATGATGCTCTATGAATTATTTCAAACTTCCATTTCTTTGATATTTTTATTTTCAGAATGATTACAAGTATCATTTCGTACGGACTCGTCTTCAATATGGAAAAACTTTCTGGCTCCATATTTTTGAATACGATCATTGTTGGCTCATTACGTTATGCGATCAATTTAGTCTGCGCTGTTATTGATATTAAATTTTTGTGGGCCGGCCGACGCCTTCTCCATGGATTCTCAATGTTTTTCATTGCTTTCAGTCTTGGCTTCGTCTTCATTATCACTGTCTTCGGTACTTTAATAAGCTTTTGAATTTGTTAGTTTTTATGTCAGAAATAGTTTGATCGCTTTTGCAAGTAATATTGACTTTCACTTTTTTGTCTATTTTTTTCTCCTACAAAAATTGCAAATTATTTTCAGGTTTTAATTGGCAGGCACTTGTTCGTATTACGGCGTTGTCAGCGGCAGCAATGTGTAGCCAAATTTACATTTTGAACGCTGTTACACCATCGGAACTCTTCCCAACGGCTATACGTAATAAGGAAATTGGTTTTGTCCAGACATTCAATCGTATTGGCAACATCATCGCACCGCAAATTTTCGTTATTGTGAGTTCAAGTTTTGCAAGTTTCTATTTTTATTTTTACTATGTTTATGTATGTGTAATAAAAAGTTATGCCGTCTTCACTACCAAGTTTATGAGAGAAGATCAAACATTTCAGGGTGAATTATGGGCTCCACTTCCATATCTTACCATGTGTCTCTTTGCCCTTATCGAAGTAACTGGATTTTTGTGGATCGTCCCGGAAACCAAAGGAAAGCCAATGCCTGATCGCATGCCTGGTGAAATCGCTGATGAAAAAATCATGGTCAAAGTGGACAAAAATAACGATGAAAATTTGCCACTTAGAGAAGGCAAAGAGTGAAAATTATTCATCATGATTAGCATCAAGAAGGTTTTATTAGATTTTCATTTGAATAGCTTTTTTATATGGAGATGGGACTTTCCAGTTTTGTTTTTATTATTTTATTGGGAGTATTCATGTTACTGAATCATTAGTGATAATTAATTTTGTAGAGGATTAATCTACAGCTTTTTAAGAAATTAAAGAAGTAATTTTCTATTACATTATTTATTCCGACGAAAAATGTAGCTTATTTTGATAGCTCTGAGTTTGAATTTTTCTGATACGTGTTGTAGTCCAAGAGAATGATTAAACTTATTATTACTGTTGAAGGTATCTTTAGTGCTGAAAGCAATTTAAAAATTTGCGATGCTCATCTATTACATTTATTTCAAGTTGTTTTGAAACAAAAGTAGACTCTTTGTATCTGTTAATATCCCAATTATTTTCATTGAATGTTAATTGTTATTTGCTTTTGTCTATCTTCTCAAAATTAGCATTACTAAATATCTGCCTTGCATACGATGTGAAAATCAGAAAAAGATTGCATCCAAGATATATTCCTTTTGTTCATCTCTTTTTTGGTGCCATATTTCTATTTTAATTGACTTTAAAAGATAGTGTGATACAATTTTTTGCGAATACCAATGGTTATCGGCACCATTTTATAACACAGTAATTCTGAATAGTGAAAGTAATTTCATTTAATCATTTTAAGTGGCATTTTTAAGGTTGTTATTATTGTTTTATGTGAATCCTTTTATGCTTTACTTGAGCCATGATTGATAGAATATTGTTGAATTATGAATATTTTTTATCAAATATATTCTTTTGTATGATCTGAAGTGACGTATGTCTGGGAAAAGTAATTCTTCTGATGAGTTTTCCAATGTATATCCCCTCCAATGTAATTTCTAAAGTTTGGCTCTTGGACGAGAACATTCTGTCAGTAAAATAAATCAGTTTTTTTTTCACCAGTATTTTCTGTCATTGTGTGTCATTTTTATTTGATGTAGTTATTTATAAAACGCTTCGTTTTGGTATTGTCTATTTCAAAGTTTTTGGAAATTTTTTAAATTGAATCCAAACCCTTCATAAATAAATCATTTGTGCAAAAATTGCTCGCGTGACTTTGTAGTTGATTAAATCATAGTTAAGAAGTTAGTGGCTTTACAAATATTTGAACTTTGCCTACAATTCATATACATGCATATCCAGGCAGATTCATTCGATGTAGTATAAAACTACCCTCAATCCTTCCACTCTTAGTCTCAAAGATGATAAAAGTTTCGAAACTTGTTTCTCAAACAGTGCAAAATACAATATACAATTCAACAGTACAAATCTTCAAAATAGCTATTCTCCCCAAATCTCGATTTGCTTCCACGACCGCATATATTTACATATGTTTCCACGCATATTATAAATTTGAAAAATCGATGCAAAATTTATTGTTTACTTTGCTTACTGCTTTGCCTGACGTTTTCACACACGCTGGTACAATCACAATTTAGAGCTTTATATGTATGTGTATTTGCAGAAGAAGGAATAGAGTTAGTTTTGTTGGAATTTTTTAAGACTCTCAGAAATTCCATGTTTGGGACTTTTCTGTCATGTCCATTGTTGGGTTTAAGTAATTCTTTTCCAGCAATTGAATTTTTACATGAAAAAAATTATTGGACTGAAAAAACTAACTTTTCTATAGGTCAGGAAAATTGATAAAAAAATGAACAGTTAATGTGATCATATCACTAAGATAATTTTTTCCCGCTGATAAGACTGTAGCGTTGCAATGAATTTCTACATACAGAATAATTTAGATCAAGAAACAATTAATTTAGGACAGTTTTTTGATTGAACAGCGTTTATTGTAGCTAATCAAACTACTGATTTGTTTATTACATGAACTGATTATGTATTTTTTTATTCTGTTGATCTGCAAATCAGATTTGTTTGGTTTCTAATTACTTCACCACCTCACCAAAACTGAGTTGTTTCTTTCTTTTGAAAATTTTTGAGCCCTAATTTTGAGATGGAAAAACGTATTGCAGCATACTTCCGAGAATAACAAGGATCAAACACAAAGTTATCACTGTGTAAAGAAACACGTGTAAGTGAACTAATTAAAGCGTGCAATAGTGGCTCCAAAATATTAGTCAGTAGTAATATTTACATACAAAAAAATTAAGAAGTTTCGATCATTTGCAATTTCAGTTAATAAATTTGCTAATTGTCACTCAGGAAGAATTACTGAACCAAGCACTGTCTTAATTCAAGACTGAAGTTCCAGTTGAATCATGTTTTCTGACTAAAAATTATGAGCATATCAATTGGTGTTCTGTTATTAGTAAAAACTTGGATGGATTATCCAAGTATATTGATCAGACGTAATTGATCCCACGTCAGTTCAATTCTTCTTTACTTATACCTAGCTAATGTATTCATTCACTTTATTATAACCGAAACTATGCATTATTAATATTCTTCTTCAGTGGTTTCATTTAAAAAAATTTGTGATAGAGTAGACACGTGAGAATTTTAGCATGAAAAAAGCTGAATCTGAATCTACGCGAAATGAAAAGAAAGGGCAAAAAGCAAAACATTCATCTGATGACAAAGTAGCGAAGGAAGTTAATGAACCCGTAAAGAAGGACATGAAGTTGCACAAAAAAAAGAAAAAAAGTAACTTTCAAATTAATCACATAATCACTTAAGCTTATTAGTGTCAAATGTCAACTTAGCAGACTTTTACAAAACATAAAGATAAAACAATATACTAAAACAAATATGAATAGTATCGATGAATTACTCTTTTTATATATACGACAGTTTGTTTGCAAGATCAAGTCGAGCAATATAAAAAGACATTACAATTAATCAGGAGAGGTCAAAGTTTGTAAATATTGCCAAGAAGGTATTTATGCAGACTGATTAATAAATAGACAGGTTGATTGGATTGATGTTATTTAGCAACAAAAAGTCTAAAAAATATAGCAAAAGGTCAATAAAATCACTATCAGCGACAACTGTATTTTACAACTATCTGCCAGATCGTAAACTTATATAATCATACAATTATCTGTTATTGTATAATGAGTTCCGTGTAGTATGCTTATTTAAATGTGCATTAAAAGTGTTACTTTGGTATAATACTGAAAGAATTAACTATTTTTACGTTAAAAATAATTAAAAACTGAGAAAATCACTTTTTTCAAGGGTCATCACCACATAATCATCGAAAACTAAAAATTCCGCACGAAGCACCTGTCTCTCCTGATAATACTCTACGTGAGGTATGTAATTCAAAAAAAAGTTTGATCGATTAATCAAATACTATCAATAATTTATTTGTAAATAAATAATAATATTTGTTTCTCTGAGGTCATAAATTTAATACAGTATGATGAAGAAAAGATATGAAGTGTTTATGGAATTAACAAAAAGCTTAATTTATGGATATGTGATACTTTTATTCATAAAAAATTTTAATTTAATTCTTAAATATGGTGTTTTGTGGTATATAAATATGCGAGTAATGCAAGGAAATCATTAAAGATAACTGGAAAGCAAATGCCAAACGTGAAATTAACGCATACTTCTTGCAACGAAATGATATACACCGATGAACAACTTATGTGACAAAATATTTCATATACTTTGTTGGGTTTTTTTTTTGATTTAATAAAAAATTTTTGTGTATATTTACGTAGAAATTATCAAGCCAAAAATTTTTGCATATTACATGTAAAAGAATGCAAAAGTTTCATAGAATGTTTGTACGCATTTGCTTGATTAAATCACAAGCAGGCAAAAATTTAACTACATGTAGCAAATTATTTACCAGTCAAGTTTAACTCTTAAATATCTTATTCTAATTGTGTAATGTAATTAATGCTAGCATTTTGTTATTGCACCGTACTTATTAGCACTGTACTATTTTACCGTTCATTTTTTAAGCTAATTTTTACATTGCTCAAAGTCTACAAATATCCTCTCATATACAAATATCCTACACTTTAATTACTGTACTTGGAGATTTTTACGGGAATACTTTTTAATCAAATAAATTTTGCATGATAGAAATTTATTATGCTTGTCTTCTTCAAATAATTTCCCTTTAACTTTACTATAATAATTGCGAGTAAAGTAACACCTAAATTTATTAATTTTTTGAGCATATTAGATTTTATTCACTCGAATTTAGCATATTTCGATTGCAATAAGCAAATTTCGATTGCAATAAAAATTGTAAATGTAAAGTTAGAAAGAACTCATATCATAGCAGTAAATTTGTGCTGATGCTAATAGTTCAAAAAATTATCAGCTATCACATGCATATTTCAGATCTCTTAAATACATCATTAATTATCAGTGTGAAAAGAATCATTGAGCTGATAATAATAATGTAAATTACGGATTAAAAATGACACAATTTAATTATCATAGGCAGTCAAGAAACTCAAAATGAATATATACACTCAAACATTAATAATAACTTTTCAGTACAGCTTTGATTATCCAATTTACCCTTAACTTCAAATGTTTCTAATCTACCTAAAATATAATGGTTCGAATGTTTTTCCATCTTATTTATAAATTAGACTAATTGCCTGAATTTAATTTAATTAATATTTAAAACCTTCCCGTATTATTATGATGCGTATTTCATTTTTACTCTATTTAAATGATAGTTTAGTTTCCATTCTCAAAAATAATTCAAGTATTCATTCTGATTTTTTACGTTTAACATATTGATTGATTTATAAAATGATCAATCAGTAATAGCTAATAAATATTTTAATCGCTAGAAAATCTTTAAATAAATGCTAGTTTGCATCGAAAAAATCTTCAGATCTAATTAATTGGATACCTATAATATCAAATGTTTACTAAACAAATTAAGTACACATACACAACAATCAAAAAAAAATCTTTCATGGGATGCACGTACTAGAAATCTAAAATTATTCATAATTTAGAGCAAATATTGTATGAAATTATTGAATTATATAATTTGTATTAAATATTGTACTCAAATTTGTATTCGATAGCGCTTAAATTTATTTCAGCAAATGAAGTGTATTTTTAGGATATTTTGAAAGCATCCATAAATTGTTCCAAAAAGAATCTTGAGCATTACGTAGTAAATACACATTAAAGTATTATCAAATTCAAAGTGATATGAGAAATTCTTCATACCATCCAATTGCGAACATCACTGCAAATCCTAGCAGGAATCCAATATTCTGAAGGGTCAATGTTATATACCACTTGTCGTGTTTGCATGTTGCTTCCCTTTTCAAATGTATCAACTGTGAAATAATATATAAAATATTAATCTCAAACTTCTTTAACAATTACTTAATTTTAATTAGAATGTGTAATTTGCTTTAAATGAAGTAAACTTTGTTTTAATTTTTGTAACCTAGGGTTCAAATTAGCAATGTTTAACTTATTTTTGCTAAAAATCAAAATAATCATTAATTTTTTAAGAGTGTAATAAATGTAATCTAACCATGTCAAGCCATGCGACATACAAAAACATTCCTGCAGTAATAGCTAATAATATTTCTACGGCATTATGAACACTTATAGCTGCTAGACCAGCAATTAATCCCAAGTAAGCTGTTAATGCAGAAACAAAATTCAGTACAATTGCTCGTGGAACTGATAAGCCTGATTCGAGCAGCACCGCAAAATCACCTATTCAAAAAATTTACTTACATTATTACGTTATGAAGTATGATGTTATAAAACTCAAAAGTAGATAATTTTCATCAATATTAAAAGTATCTGTAATCAGTTTTATTTTGCAAATATCTTTATTTTACAATTGCAAATAGATACTAATGCAATTATCTATAAGCATACACTGCAAATTGCACAACTTTTGTAAAATATTACAAATGTTTATAACATACTAATTAATATGGCACTTGATAATTGCTAAAAAAATTCAAATTAAACTAGATCGACCTAATTCATGAGGTAGTTCGTGAAATGCTATTGCGAGACTTGTTGCAAAGCCAACTTGATTTGAAATAATAAAACTTGCACCAACAGCAATTCCATCAATAAAATTATGAATTGCATCACCGAATATTATCACAAATGCAGTACTTTTAAGACCACATACTATCACTGGATCATCGTTATCACTGCTCAAGGAATCAAACGACTTTTTTTTGATGTTTTTACGTAACTTCTCACTTCCGGTCCTTTAATTATAATTCTTTTAAAACTGTTTTCAACAATTTGAAGAATGTCCTCACTCTATTAAACTAATTTTCTCACCATCAAAGAAGTAAACTTAATAGCCACGTTTAAAGATTATGCTAATTTTTAAAGACTACTTTCATGACTGTGCTAATTAATTTAATTATCAGTTTGTTTTTTTTTGATAAGAGGGTTTATCTTTTATCGAAAAAAATTGATAAATAAGAATAATACTAAAATTAAGAGTTATTTTAAAATAACGTTATAATAACTTGCCAAAAAAATGCATTTAAAATTCATCATATACTTTTTCTGCTTAAAAAAAAGCACATTACGGACTGGTTTGAAAATTTTGTACAAACCTCAAATTCCCTTATTTAGTTGCTTTCGCAAAGCCAAAAAAAAGTTTATGCTAAATTATTTTTATTTTTTTGAATTCTTGAAAATATTTTGCAGCATATTTTTTATTGATAAAATGCAAAATTAGCTATTTTTTACATATCCAAGTCTGACCATTTATCTGGATATACTGTAATAGATGTCGCAGTGTGTTCTGGATGGACGACTTTCTGAAATTGCATAATAAAGTTTAAAATGCAATTCTTTATTAAAAAAATATTTTAATTTGAAATTTCTAATTATTAAATGTATATCAAAATAAAAGTTACATTTTTGACTTTCCAAATCGGTAAGGACGAGATAAATTCGAGTAGATAAAGAACATAAGCTGCTCCCAATACAATACTCATTTTCAATAATACTGTATGATCATCATTGTGCTCGTTTGCTTTTTCGGGCATCTAAATTTATTCTTCTGCTTATGAATAGCTTAATAATATATATTGTTATAAAATAACTCAAAATTATTATTGGTCACAATTTTGACTAATAAAAATAAAACCACAGTGTTCCAAGGACTGAAAATTAGATTATTTAATCTAAATAACTTTTCAGATCAGTACGAATATTTTGATTTTGTGATTCAATCTCACTGACTCATTTATTCAGAATAATTTTGTGTATAAAACGTTTTTGAAGAAAATGCGACATTCCATTGGAACGGGAATAAATTTTCTACTACTCAAATATTTTTACGATCCCATAACCTGAATGAATTTCCATTGAATCTGCTATGTAATACCGATGCTAAAAACTATCGAAAATTATTTTCCTAAAATTTCCATTTGAGAAACTTCATCTTAGAATTTGATACATAAATAAGAATTTTTAACGAAAAAATGAAATAAAAATATATTTAAAGTACAAAACTCAAAGATTTATTTTTTATACAATTATTTACATTTCGTTTTCCATAAATTGTTAATTAACAATGAAAACGCTAAATAAGCAAAGTCTAATCTAAGTTTAATTTATTTTAAAGCATAAATCAAATTGCTACGAATTTTATACATTGCTTCAGTATGCTACTTGAAGAGAAGTAAGTCATTTTAGTACTAATACTGAGCGCCATAAAAGTCTGAATTAGTTAATTACCAAATGAAAACCTTAAAATAACGTAATTTTGTTTGGTCCAAAAAGTTTTAAATACCTTTGTGACTTATATTCTCTAATACTTTCCTCTTCATTTTTGGCTTATTATAAGTTGTAAAATCTAGTCCTTAACTGAATTAGCCATTACTGACATCGCAGTCAATTACTATACTTTTTGTATCTCTAATTTGATATAAAATTTTTTAACGAACCTCGTGATGATGGTGATGATCATGATCATGGTCATGTTTATGTTGGCTGTGATCACAGTCATGATGATCATGATCATGATGAATATGGTCACGATCATGATAATCATAATCATGACTATGAAGGTGTTTCTCGTGATTATCGTGATGTTTATCATGACTTGAATGATTGGTTGGAATTACAAAGTCATTGTGATCGTTTCGAATTTGGTGTTCATGATGTTGATGAACGTGGTTATGAACTCCAATTACCTAAACTTTACAAAAAGTCATTAAATTGCTAACAGTACAATTTCTACTGCTCCAGTAATTTCAAATTCCGATCAATCAATAGAATAAGAATAAAAAATAAATCTTTCTTGCCTGTGGCAAAATGTGCAACAAAGCATCTGAACTCATAGTCGACACTGCGAGAGCAATGAATATTTGCATCCATCTATTACGCCATTTACCTTTCAAAAATGGCAAAAATATTAGTCCTGAGAGAGATAATAAAGATACTACTGTGATCGACAAGAAACCATAGAAGAGAGCTGAAAAAAGTGTATAATATATTAACTTGTTAATTAATTAATTACATTAGTAGCAATGTTTGTATAAAAGAATTGTTAATTATATTTGTTACAAATATGCAAAAATTTTTGAATAAAATAGTTTATATTGTACATGAAATGATTAAAAACTAACGTTCGGCCTCGAATACGATCATTTTTGAATTTTGATTTCTGGATGTACTGATTTGTAAATTGATTGTTACTGGTTACTTCGGTTTCAAGAGATTGAAAATGAGTATTGAAGCAAGCTTAGTTTCAGCCCAAAGTGATATAAGCTGAAAAAAATTGAATTGAATAAACTATATAATTATATGCAGTTAGTACAAAGCATTCTCTGTGAACTAATACGGTAAAAAAATTATTACTTTTTGACGTGACCCTGTTTATCATCAGTAAACGATTATTCATTTAACTTGATTCAAAGAATGAAGGTCAGTCGAGTCATATGAGCAAATGATCAAATTATTGTTGACATGGGAGTAGAAGTTTTTTTACAGACATAATTGTCATGTTTTATGTTTTCACGATTATTTTAGTAATCAAGATATTTTTTTATTTTTCAGTAAGTGTAAATTATACAAAAAAAGAATTACTATTTTTGCATCTAATTTTTTAGTAAGTTACAATTCTATTTGAAAGAGCGACGAGTTGAGAAAGTAAAACATTTTTGCATTCAAAATGAGCAGTTTTTATCGAATAACTTAAGAATTAAGTTCAGCAAAAAAAAAACAATGTAATGTAACAAAATTACTTCAATCAAAATCTGAAGTATAAACTTCGTGAAGGAAAAAGTAAAAATAACTCAAAATGGGCAAAGGTAAAATTTAAATATGTTTGAAATTTTGAATGTAATAATTAGTTCAGCTTTTGACTAATAACTTTTTAATTACTTGAGGAGCTAACGTTAATATCTTCAAAGTTTTTTTTACAAATTGTTTTTTATCAAAAATTGTATTTTAATTGCAATAATTAGCAAAAATTTTCCACAGCACAATTTAATACTAGTTTGATTACTTGTAATCATTTACTCAACAATACAAATTAATGATGAAAATAAATTTTATAATGGTAGTGGATTAAAATGTAAAAAGTGTAATAAAGATTTTTAATTAATTTATGAGAAAAGAAAAGCTTTTTCATACGGCAAATGTTTTGGATTTATTGTGAAAAAAAAAA